ATCTACAGGTCAGGACTCTATAGTTTACACTCATCTACATGTCAGGACTCTACAGTTTACACTCATTTACAGGCCAGAACTCTGCAGTTTACACTCATCTACAGAACATGACGATGCAGTTTACACTCATCTACTGGCCAGGTCTCTGCAGTTTACACTCTTCTACAGGTCAGGACTCTGCAGTTTACACTCATCTACAGGCCAGGACTCTGCAGTTTACACTCATCTACAGGTCAGGACTCTACAGTTTACACTCATCTACAGGCCAGGACTCTGCAGTTTACACTCATCTACAGGTCAGGACTCTACAGTTTACACTCATCTACAGGTCAGGACTCTGCAGTTTACACTCATCTACAGTAAGGACTCTACAGTTTACATTCATCTACAGTAAGGACTCTACAGTTTACACTCATCTACAGGTCAGGACTCTACAGTTTACACTCATCTACAGGCCAGGACTCTGCAGTTTACACTCATCTACAGGTCAGGACTCTACAGTTTACACTCATCTACAGGCCAGGACTCTGCAGTTTACACTCATCTACAGGTCAGGACTCTACAGTTTACACTCATCTACAGGCCAGGACTCTGCAGTTTACACTCATCTACAGGTCAGGACTCTACAGTTTACACTCATCTACAGGCCAGGACTCTGCAGTTTACACTCATCATCAGGTCAGGACTCTACAGTTTACACTCATCATCAGTCTATACAATAAAAACAGATTTAAACCATAATAGCTGTTAAAAGGTGATGTTTTAATGTTTATTTTTGTGTAATTGTATTATTTATGATAAAAAGAAACCAGTAAATATGCATCATTCACTACTACAGTCTCAGTTTAAGATGACCACATGTAGTGGTGTCCTGATATTTATTTATGATAAAATGTTACAACAATATGTATCATGCTGTATATTTGATTCAATACAGTCGAAGGGGCTGTAGGTCCATAAAGAAGGAGAGCCAATTTGTTCTAAATAACCATATATATATTAAAGTAATTGTGTAAAGCTTAAGTTCTAACTCAGTCAGTACTTGGCATAGGGAAATATACAAACTAAGGTAACTGTACTCCTACTAAGTTGGAGAAAAACTGGTATCGGGACACCCCTACCATTAAGTATGTAAAGTTTTATGTGTTTATTACAGCAGGATGTCACTTGATAATGAAATAGCACCAAGGTAAGAGTATAAAATGGTACAACTTCACCTGCCCCTACATAAAACTGGTTTATCTCTTKAATTTGGAAGCTTTTTATATCAGCTAAGAGTTGGATGATTCAATAATAAAAACTGTCTTCAGAAATCACTCAAATATGAGTAAACATTAAGCACTTTGAAATCCTTTCAGAAAACCTGAAATTTCACTCAAAACCATTATAAAGACTAGAATAAAGTCAGGAAAGTATAAAGACATGAGAGACGAATCAAGACTTTTGCACAATACTTTATACTGTATATTTTAATAAAAGTATTATAGTACAAACACCCATAGTCAGATAAGTTTGAGCCTAAAACTTCAAATTTCTAAAAAATTTAAAAGATGAACMCCACTAATAAATCACAGCACCAGGGTACAAAACTGATTGCACAATACTACAGAAATATTGCAGTATATAATCAAAGTATATTTGTAACACAAAGGCAGCTGGTCAGAGGATAAGTTACTAAACCTCCCTCCAACACACACTTTCATACAGCATATCTCTTAGATGATCCATTGMGGGTTTAGATGAAGCATTATGTTGAGCCTAGGCTTTTTTAAGTTACGTCATTCCCATGAAGGTGTGGGAATATATCTGAAACCAGGTGAAGATGTGACGATCAGTGAGCAGAGCCATGTTTTCATCAAAACGAGCACTACACATGTGGTTGCWTTGAGTGTTGATGGACACATACAGAAAAGAACAAGACTGTGTCTTTGAGGATATGGTGAAATCAGATGATCTGGGATCAAGAGAGGAACTGGTTCTGGATGAAGAAGTCAGATATGGAGGACTGTGTGAGTGTAGTACAGGACATGTAAACACATGGATTTAAAGAAGGCATATGCAAAATTCTTTTTTAGAGCCATTAAATACATTGTGCTACGTGAGTGTGGGATTGTGGGTCTGTTGTTACGGGACATTATGTCTCTATACAAGCAGTGGTCATGAACTTTGGGTAGTGACTGAAAGAACAAGATCGCAGATACAAGCAGTCAAAATGAGTTTCCTCTGCAGGGTAGCTGAACCCTCCCTTAGAGATAGGGTAAGAAAGTCAGTTATCTGGGAGACTCAGAGTAGATCCAAAGGATCACCTCCACATCCAGAGGAGCTAGTTAAGGTGGTTTGGGTATCTAGTAAGGATGCCTTCTGGATGTCTCCCTAGAGAGGTGCTTCAGGCATGTCCAACTGGAAGGAGGCCCAGAGGAAGACCCAGGACAGACTGGAGAGACTATGTCTCTAGGCCAGGGGTTCTCAAGCCATTTGGGACTGAGGACCCCTTACAAGGGCGAAAAAAAATTCCAGGGACCCCCTCAAAAATCCCCTGCTGTTTTAAAATATAATTTACAGTCATTTCAACCCCTAAATGTCATGGGAATATATATTTTTATTAAGTTTATTATGTTTGTTTTATTAGTTCATTGTTCTCCATGCATTTTTAAAAATAAAAACCAAATTAACATTTTAGTAAAGATGTTTGAGGACCCGCAAGATACCTCTCGTGGACCCCTGGGGGTTCAGGGACCCCAGTTTGAGAACCYCTGGGCTGGCCTGGGAATACCTTGGAGTCCCCCCAGAAGAGCAGGATAAGGTGTCTGGGGAAAGAGAGGTCTGGGCCTCCCTGCTCAAGCTGCTGCCCCTGAGACCTGACTTCAGATAAAGTGGAAGATGATGGATGGATGGATGGATGGATGGATGGATGGATGGATGGATGGATGGTTGGATGGATGGATGGATGGATGGATGGAAACATGTTGTGTACTTGGATTCTCTAGGAGTGTAAAAACTTTGCGTTTGTCCTCTCACAGATCTACAGAGATATCTTGACATTCTTTTTGTGTCATATTTTTCAACTCGTTCCATTTTCTCTATTCTCTATGATGTTTTCTGAACCATTATGTCAAATTATTTGTCACAACATTTCTRAGGGTGTACACACGTGGAAAAAAGTGCTCAATGACGTCAATGTGAGCTGTAGTGAGAAGTGGAAGAGAGCCTRGAGAGGTGGAMGTAYACTCTGGAGTGAGGAGGTGGGACAGACAGAAGATGGACAGAACAGAYGTGACTAAGTGGGAGACAGGACCAGTGAAGCTAAGAGGTCCTGGAGGTGGATGAGAGTCAACCGTTCAAATCAACAGGCAGAGGTGAAGATGAAAGAGCGGGCAGGGTGGAGTGGTCAGACACTACTGTTAGGGTGATACGTCAGAAGAATAGCTTCAAGAGTGAAATGAAAGGTTTATAAGATGGTAGTGATGCTTTTCATATATGATTTTGAAGACAGTGGCTCTGACACAAAATCAATAAATAAATAAATAAATATGATARCATAATGATATGGTTTTTGTGTTTAAAAATATTTTTGATCAGTTAAGCATTTATTGTAACATGTGAAATATTCTGACGGTGATAAAACAATAATGAAGGATTGGAACAAACTAGAATAAATGTATTAACAAAGCATGAACATCCTGAATGAACGCACAGAGAGAAGTGTTTTTATAAAGTTCTGCTCCACACAGATGGAGGAAAGCTGGGCGATGTGGAGGAGAACGTTCCCAGTAAAAGAAAGCAGTGCCTGTTCATGTCAGCTCTACTTCACCAGGAGCAGCTCCATGTTTGAAACACAGCACAAACTGCCAGATGAAAGAAACACCCGCTTCAGTTCTGGGACTGGAAATGTGAAGTGAAATGGAGCATCAAATGTTATACAGCACACTTTAAAAAGATATTGTTCACATAGTATCTATTTTCACATGCTGCTCATCGTGTCACACTGTGTTATCATCTGTGGACCGCACGCACTGAATGTGGAGATCACACAACATGCTTTTTACTGAGGATATTGTAAAGAAAAACMAACAAGTGCTCAGAAGCACCAACAACACACTGCATATAGAACAAAAACAACAACATGGCCTCACATTCAACAGCAGCAAACCTGTTAAAATACACACACACAACTGAAGTGTGAGCTCGTAACAACACACAGCAGATATCACTGACAAGTCAAAACTAAATTAAAAGCCAATGAAACTTGGAGTCTAGTTTCCCACAAGAGAAAAGACCCACACTAATCTTTAAGAGGATGATAGGGATGTAAAACTCAGTTTTGGGTCTCATTTGTATAATTTAGTCAAAGAAAGTTTAAAAGTGCTGCAGTAGAGATGAAATATGCTGAGGCAAGGCRCGTGTCAAAGTAATGGATGCTCAGGAGTCAAGAGATCTGTTAGGTGATGGTCTGCTCAAAGTGTGGATTTAAAGAGTGTTTATGATCAGTATTTCATCTGCAGTGGACAGCAGGCAGGGTGAGCTCAGTTTAGAAAAACCCATGGACTGAGTCAGGCTAACAGCTAATCAGAGCTGGAACCATTTAGCAGCAAATTCCACCTGCTTCAGATGTTATCATCCATGAAATGGATGTTATTAGGTGTTATCAATTCCCTAAAACGGCTTCAGAACGTCCCACCTGTGCCGGTTAGCAGGTTCCCCATCCCATAGAATGGTTTCTGATTGTCAGCTGGTTAATATGAGGCATAAAACCACTATCTGGTTAATATGAGGCATAATAAATGGTTAGTATGAGACATAAAGCCACTAAGGTTAACTATAGAGCAAATGACATGGTTAGCGCTAAAAACACTGCCCTCGAAAAGTTGTTTATTGTGGTTAAGTACAGCGGGTAAAATAAGTATTGAACACRTCACCATTTTTCTCAGTAAATATATTACTAGAGGTGCTAATGACATGAAATTTTCACCAGATGTTGGTAACAACCCAAGTGATCCATACATACAAAGAAATCAAACCATAAATGTCCAGAAATGAAGTTATTTGTAATAATGTGGAATGGCACAGGGAAAAAGTATTGAACACACTTACTGAAATTTATCTAATACTTTGTACAAAAGCCTTTGTTGTCAATGACAGCTTCAAGAYGCCTCCTGTATGGAGAAACTAGTGGCATGCATTGCTCAGGTGTGATTTTGGCCCATTCTTCCACACAAACAGTCTTCAAATCTCGTGTAATACTGGGAGAATATAGTCTGGTCAGATGAGACCAACATTGAACTGTTTGGATGCCAGAATACACATCATGTTTGGAGGTCAAATGGCACTGCACATCAGCCCAAAAACACCATACCAGCAGTGAAGTTTGGAGGTGGGAACATCATGGTGTGGGGCTGTTTTTCAGCATATGGTACTGGCAAACTTCAAATAATTGAAGGAAGGATGAGTGGAAAAATGTACAGAGACATTCTTGATAAAAATCTGCTTCCATCTACCAGGATGATGAAGATGAAACGTGGCTGGACATTTCAGCAAGACAATGAGCCCAAACACAAAGCCAAGGAAACTCTCAGTTGGTTTCAGAGAAAGAAACTAAAGCTGCTGGAATGGCCCAGCCAATCACCTGACCTGAATCCAACAGAAAATCTATGGAAAGAACTAAAGATCAGAGTTCATAGAAGAGGTCCACGAAACCTTCAAGATTTGAAGACTGTTTGTGTGGAAGAATGGGCCAAAATCACACCTGAGCAATGCATGCCACTAGTTTCTCCATACAGGAGGCGTCTTGAAGCTGTCATTGACAACAAAGGCTTTTGTACAAAGTATTAGATAAATTTCAGTAAGTGTGTTCAATACTTTTCCCCTGTGCCATTCCACATTATTACAAATAACTTCATTTCTGGACATTTATGGTTTGATTTCTTTGTATGTATGGATCACTTGGGTTGTTACCAACATCTGGTGAAAATTTCATGTCATTAGCACCTCTAGTAATATATTTACTGAGAAAAATGGTGACGTGTTCAATACTTATTTTACCCGCTGTGTTTTTTTGTTCTTTTATAGATAAAATCCTGTTTGTTCATGTAAAAGGAGCATGAMTACAAACCTGTACTTTGACCAAACCATGAGGAAACTGTTTCCCTTCCTGCTTCAACTTCTGAGCATGTAGTTCAGTATTATAATACAGTATATGTCACCTTTATACAAGACAACAAGCTGATAAAGAGCCAACATCTTCAATAACGGACAGATAAAACACTCCATATTGGAATTAAACTTGTTAGTTTACCTAAAAGAACAACATCAAAGCATCTATCAATGGAACTCACATACAGTATGTTTGGTTTTATGTTAAGACTTTAGGCTCAAATTATAATTAGAAAGCTGTGATCAATGTAACATCACCTGGTTATTTACATGAAACTTTTTGAGTATTTGCAAGTGCAAATTGGATAACATGTAATGTAATATTTAAATAAAAGTTATCACAGTGATTAGAACTGTTGCCTCTCAGAGAGAAGGTGGTAAGGTCACTTCACTGGGTGCAGTTTGCATGTTTTTTATCTGGGTAGTCTAGTTTCCTCCCACAGACCAAAAACATGCATGGTCTGCCTGGTTCACACTTCCAAGATAACTGTGCTGATTTCTGGCCCAATTTTGTCCTTCTGACAGTCTAAGGATGCTCCAACTATCATGATGGCTCTATAGATAATGGTAGCAGATGTTCCTGCCATGTGTGGTGTGTTCAGGTGATYTAGTTGGTTCAGAMGGAYGTCAGGAACTCTSATCTCTGGGATRTTCAACATGTTGGACTGTCTTGGTCCGATATCTCAGTGYGTGTGGTGTTCCCCGAGAACAAACGAGCTGCAGCCTGTTGAATGTGACATGTAACCAATGAGAAAGTGAGGTGATGTAAACACAGAKAGTAATCTAAATTACAGAAGACAACACAATGGCCACGGTCTGGTGGACAATGCTTCTTCCTCGTTAGTCGTGTTTGTTTACTCTGAACTCACGTTTGATTTCCAGAGGTATCACAGGATTTCCTGTCTGAATGTAGGATCAAACCTGTTATATATGGTTTAAATCATCATGTATGGATCTCCCAGTCTTTGAAAATCAGCCAACAATTCTAAAATCTTGCCATGTGAACCAGAGTTTATGTCCATAGATAACTCTATAGTGTCCCTAGAAGTGGGTCAGATTGTGAATGGTTATTGGGCTCTATGTTGTCTTCTGATGGACTAATAACTCATCCATGATGTTTGCTGTCTCTCTCTATCAGAAGATACTGACTTTACAAATGTTCTCATCAAAACTCATCTTCAAAAGATCAGAAGTTTCTCCAAGAGAACCTAACGGTGCACATTCTATGAGCCTTACCTGAAGCACATTCATCTTCATTTTTACAGACTTGTGTGTAAACTAAATACCATCAAACATCAGAACATGGTTTGACTCCTGAAAGTTCTCTTCAGAACCCATGATGTGCTCTCTGTCAGTGCCAGTATTCTGTGAGGAGAGTTTTAAAATAAACCTGATGCTGGGTTGTTTTATGGGACCATCCAGCCATGCAGGGGTTCCTACCTGTCACTTTGAGTTGAGTTGTTCGTCGCACCACTCTGGATCCATACTGCAACTCACAGGTGTAGTTTCCCCCATCTCCCTCCTCTATCTCAGGAATCCAGATATGTGTGGTGTTGATGAACAGGGAGCTTCTCCACTCCACTCGCTCACACTCCTAACAGGTGACACAGACAGAAGGGCCTCAGTCACAGCTGTGTACAGGTGACTTCCTGTGTGCTGTTCTGGGACTGGGTTGTACCTTGTACCAGGTCATCTGTGGCTGTTTGTAAGGAGCCAGGTAGTCCTCGATGTCAGGGCAGTGGATCATTTTGCTGTGGGTTATCTCAGCTTTCTCCAGATGGCGGATTTTGCTGCTGTAGCACTTCCCCTCATCGCTCTCCTCCACCGTCATTGACATGGACACTTTCATGCAGTATGTTGAGTTCCTGCAGAGACACAGCACAAATAACAAAGTTTAAAGCTTCTTTTAAAGCTTAAACTACAAGGCATACACAAAACTGATTTCAGTTCCAGGTGTAAAGTGTATGACCTTTAAAAAGAGCACAAACTGAACGTCTGCACTTCCAAGGTGAGTCGAGCACTCTCAAATCAATCTGAGTGGGTTTGTTTTCAGCTGATTTGTTTATCCATCCATGGGTTAGCCACAACAGTGACATGACTCATTTCTCCATTTGCCCAACACACACTGTGTGTGAAACAGCCTAAATGCTATTTTCATGGGTAGAATACTGTGCAGACCTTCAAGCATTGTTGTGTGTATTTGTGGTAAATTATGGGCCTCTGGTAACACAGTATTTCATGGACATCACCAAAGTAAATGGCTTTCAGAAGAAATTACATGTTGTACAAGCTCTAGTATACATAAAAACATGTGGTTTGATGAGAAAAAGAAACTAACAGAAGATGATTGGACAATCATTGCCAGTCAGCTAACACTGTGTTTGTCTGTTAGCCTGACATTTTGAGATATGACATGAGGTCATGCAGGACCTGTTTTTCTCAGTGTTTGATTGAAACAAATACCAGTTGATTGTTTCTCAACACAAAAAGATCTGGCCTAAAACTTGGACATTAAGGCAGCAGGTAATATGCATTACTTCAGGGAATTCATGTCTGATGACCAGATATGAGTGTAAGACCTGATAGATCAGTCAAATTTAAATAAAATGTATAGTAACAAGAAGGAAAATCTAGCAACACTCAAAATGAAGAGTAGCTGTACCATACAGTGACTCCTGCCATCATGTGCAGTAGAAGCAGAATAAAATCCAACATTGTTACTTTTAATTAGGACTGGAAATGTAACTTGGCATGTTTGGCATTATTCTAGTGGACTGACACACTTTCAGAACTTTTTATTTCACCATCAGGTTGGTGACTCATCGAACCATGGCACATTCACTTACATACTTTGTGTTATGTGGGAGCTCAACATGCTGACACCAGCACCACATACTGCAGAATACTGAGCAACGAAAGTGTTCACTACTCAGTTTTTACTCATCTTTCTTCCTCTGCGTATGGGAGAGTTGTGGAGGTGACAGGTCCCAAAGTAAAAACCCAACGTCCCTGTCCCCAGTTTATCCTTGGGGGTGGGGATTACAGGTTGATTCCTCCAGAAGGTCCTGAGTGTACCCCACTTCTATCCAGGACTGGGTTCTTTCCTCCCATGAACCAAAATCAYATGTTAGCTTAATTAGTAACATGTGAGAGTGGGAATGGTTGTTTGTCTTCATGAGGTCTCTGTGACATGCCACTTGTCCAAGGTGTACCTCACCTGTCACACACTAGCTGTGTTTCCATTACAAATGTGCACACAACTTTGTCGATATTCTGTTAATGTCGAAAA